GGACATAGACTGGAAAAAACAATTTCATAGTTTCAGTGTAAACTCAACCCCTCGTGTATATACATAGAGTAGCTTAAGTAACACCATCGAATGGGAAAAAAGCCACCAGCAGCGAGCGCCACAATTCATCATGGCAGAGCATGGTCTCTCCTATTGGACTATAAAGCCAGCTTTGGCTACTGCCAATGGTGGACGTACGAGTAGAAAGAAACTAAAGTCCACATTTTACACATAAAGTCCACAAACATTTCCTCTTTAACATAAGTGAAGAAGAGGGCTTAGAAGAGATAACTCGGGGAGAGACGTGAAGTCTTTGTAGGTTAATTGATTTAATGATGACTTGGTATGCTATATTTCCTATTTCAAAAAATACAGGCTCTTTCTTGAATAATAACTTACTATGAGTACAACATACACCTCAAAAAAGATTAACGGAACATACTAATTAAACATCACAGTTTCTGCTTTTGCAATTTTACACAAATTACCATAATTATAAAGAACGCTTACAACACAATATATAACGTTTTAATATTATCCATCATCCTTAACTTCTGAAAGTTTGACTTATATTATCTCAAAAGAAAACTACAAATCTCATTTTCCCACAGAATTAACTCACCACCAAACTTAAAAAAATAATTAAACTTAAGAAAAAGCTTTCCTGTAAACCTTTCCCAATGGAAAATTGTAATGCAAACACCTGCCAGGCTTTGATGAAATAAAAATCAACAACTTACATGACCAACAGCACCTCATAAAACCACAACCTCCTTTTGTTAGCACAAATTTCAATTCTTCTTGCTCTCTTAGTAACTGGTAACCAGACCCCCTTCCCTCCATCTAGGAACTGTTCTGGTTTATGTAATACAATGTACAGTATTTTTAAACATCAATAAATTGAAATGGCACCATGAATAAACAGCTATTTTTTAAAACCAAAGTGACTCAGAGGACTAGAACAGATATAATAGCACACAGAAATGATTTAAAAGTAAAATTTTAAAAAATGTAATCTATCCTGGCCTTATGTTTATTGAAACTAAAAACCAAAGGATAAAGTATCATTTTAAACCTATGTACATCAAGATGCCAGTTATAAAAATGTACTTTAGCTGTAAATGCTAGATTATGCAAAAATAATTTTTATCAACTTTAACTTTAATGAATTTTCCCCAACTCTAATATTAAAAACATTAAAAGAACTTAAATTTTAATGGCAAAAGTTTCTGTTTTCCCCATCTGTTAAAAAAAAGATTTTGTTTTCCCTTATTAACATACAATGCCCTATTGTTAAGGCACAACTTTTTTAAAATAAAAATGAAACCATAGATTAGGTTTATTTTACACAACAGTTACAAGACAGACTTTTTATTGGCAAATATTAAAAATAATTAATTACATTGGAAATTTGACCAAGATCTAAAATGAAAACTCATTGTTTCTATCCAGGAGGAATCAGCACATAACCAAGATAAGTACTTGCAGCTAGAATAATCCAAATAGCTTCTGCTGTTAACTTGCCACAGATTGTCTCCATAAGGCCATTTGCAAGGTGTTATCAAGGAGAGGCAAGCTGGATAGTCTTTTCTGAGGGATAGGGAGGGGGTGGCATTCCCGCTTTCTTTGTGTTTGGCCTATCAGGGACAGCTGTCACCTTCAAAGCCCAAGGGAAATCCAAGTTTTGAATTAAACACCTGAGCAAGGGCAGAGTTCCTGATCACAGAGGTCAGGGCACTTGTTTGTTCTGCACTCTCCCTCTGCTATTCTTCCCCTGAGCTACCTTTCCTTTTTCTCAACCTTTCTTTGGCCACTGCCCCTCTCCCACTTTCTCTGACCCAGTTTGCACAAGATTCAAAGAAAGCGCCCAGCAAACAGGAAGAGTTTGCACAATTGTTACTTAAAACACACACCAAAATGCTTGTTACTTTATTATATAGCTATAAACAGTTCATTTGAATATTGATTTAAAATGAAGAAAAAAACCCACTAAAACTGGGGAGGACAACTGAATACCAAAGACAAATATGACCCGTCTTGTAGGCTCTTGTAATCTCACCTGAAACAGGCATACACATATGAAAACTAATAGAAAAATCACGTTTCTCAAACAGGCTTATATACCCAACTCTTATTTTCTGCATTTTCATTCTTTGAAGAGTCAGAAGAAATGCTTTACAAAGACAGAAGCATTGGATTAGACTTGACTGTAAAGCTTTGTGGTTTTGAAGGTGATTTTCCTTTACTTTTTGAGGAGTCTTTGAATAATAAGTCAACTTCCCCAGATCGAGCTCCTTCACTGGGAACTTTACTAGTGTCTCAGTTCTACCCTGATTTCAGCAGCCAATCTTGAGAGAAATGTCTATGAAAGAATTCCTTGATGAGTGATGGGGAAGACTATATTGGTTAAGAAAGAGGAGCAGGAATAAAAGAACATTGAGCTAGGGAGACAGGGAACGAGGAAGAAATGAAGAGAGGCAGAGGAAGGGGACAGCTGATGGCTACTGAGGTTATTGATGTAGCTGCTTTTACTAAATGTGATGTGTAAAACTCAATTTTAAGGGAATATTTTCCTCTAAATAAGGGCAAAATGAGAGAAAGGGAAGACAAAATGTTGGGGAGGTGAGGATCACTGAAAGTAAACTCTAGTTATTTTGCTACATTTTAGAAATAATTTTATTTATGTAATTCTAGGAAATATTACATGCCTCACTTATTCATGAAGGTGTTTTACTGGCATGTTCTAGTATAATAATGACTCACATAAATATAAATACTGTTGTTTGTAGTTATATTAGTTCTGTAATATATACTGATTTTTAGAAACAAAAAAATTTAAAAATGAACTTTCTATAAAAGCACTTAAAAATAACTAGTAACTAGACTACACCCAACATATTATAAAAATGCATTTAACTGACAGCCAATATCATAATTTTTGCACACAAGCCCTTCACAAAGTCATTATCTATATGCAGATTAATGAAATTAAAAATAAAACCAAAGCAATCATCATATGATATTGGGGGAAAAACCCAACTCCAATTAAATTTCACTTCTCACTATGCCAGTCCTATTTCCTTAAGTTTGAAATATTACAATGACACAAATGCTTTCATACCACAGGACTCTGAAAATAGCACATATGTTTGCCATCTCTCCTGAGAAAAAAGAATTCCTTCATCTCAGTGCAAAGTAAAAAGATGAGGTCCTCATATCCTGTTCAGAATCCTAAGTTCCATTCAAATATCAAGCGTTCCAACTACCAAAACTTTGAATAAATTTTCACTGAATAAAAGCCTACCTAATGAGGCCTACTACTCTCAGATTCATGACCAGTTGTTTGAGATCGGGTGGAAATGTACATCATACTAGATTCAATTCCCTAATGAGGAATTAAAGGGCTGGACAGTATAATATGCAAACCTAAAATTGTATGCAAATTCCATCAGCTGAGAATGTCCACTCTTTGGTCATTTATACCTCTAGGATAGGAAAATAAATAAAAAGTTGCTGTAGAATTAAAAAGTTAAAAAAAAAAAATTACCATAAGAAATCCCTCTCCTTATCAGTGTTATAGAATACAGGGACATCAAAGTCACATGAAATAAAAGTATTTGTATACATGAAGTTTTCAGATATCACCATGAGAGAAATCAGACATTCCAATGATAGTTCACAAAGCAAGATTCTAATTAGTGACTCAGTGAAAATGTCAAAACCTTTCTTCCAACCAGATTCTGCATACTGAATAGGAAAAAAAATGCATCAAAAAGTAACTTGAATCTTCATTATTTTAATCTGAAAGGAAACTATAAAATATCTAAAAAGTTATTACTTTGAGAGTTTAGTTAGGTTAGATCCATTTATTAACGGTAAAAGCAACCATGACAAAAGCAACCATAAATCATTCTTGATGAGAGAATCCCTACATACAAACCTGGCAAATTTTTTCAAAGTACTGAAACAAAGCTTTTGGAAATAATAAAAGCTAGCTCGATTCATATAGTTTCAAATAACTTTCAATTAATAGTTAGGATCATTTATATTTTCGTAGTGCTTTATAGCACATTTTGTCCCTAATGAGAAAATGTATCAAAATGCTAGTGCTAATGTTGAAACCTTAATCCAAACCTTACAGGTTAAAGGCTTAATGTTGGTCAAGAAGGAAAGGATGGAATCATGCACTGTCTGTAGGGCAAATGAAAATCAACAGCAAGATGGCAGAAAAGTTGATACGAACACACTTTTCTTTGCAGAAACAAAACAAAACACACACACACTGAAATTACAATGCAACCATCATATATCTATATTCTCTACTAGCTGGTGAACCTGTTATTAAATTTCAAAAAAAAAGTTAAGATTTTTCTATTTTAATCCATAAGAAATATTCGGTAACAGATAAATAGAGCATTTGTTGCATATTAATGAATGTGTGGCTTCTTGTGCTTTCCATCTGAATTAGGGGTAAAGCCCCCAAATTACTTTATTTTCAATGAGATATAAGTATAAAGTAATATTAAACATTTACATGAAATCAATCCTTTCTTCAGCCCAATTCTACATGAAAGTACTAATAGTGAAGTTTCATGATGCTGTGTGAAAATGGTGACTCATAACAATGTAGACTCAGCTATAGATTTTAATTCACAAATATATATAT